TCCTTCCTTCCTTCCTTCCTTCCTTCCTTCCTTCCTTCCTTCCTTCCCGATTTGTCCTTTTGTTCAAATTCACAAAAATTCAGATTGTCACATGACCATTGTTGGGACCATATTTGGGGATGGAGAAGCATTGTACATAATGGCACTCACATGCTTTCGAATCTTCCAGTCAAAATCCAACTAAACAATCAGCACGTATGTTCCAGGAGCGATTCCTGTTGCTTCCCACTTTTGTGAAGTAAGCAGAGCTGAGGTTCACAGGTGCTACATTTCAGTGGCCATATACCTGTTCTCTGCAACAACTTCCCTTTAGAGACCAACTTGTCTTACATTGCTGCCCTTCCAAAAATGTTTAAAACCAGAACTGTTTCAGACGTGGCATGGAAAGTGAGGTGACGCTACATCTACATGGTTATCTATGCATACCTGTACATGGTCATATGTAGGGGCTGCCGCCAAGAAGAGGGGGTCAAGCTATTCCCCAAAATACCTGAAGGCAGGACAAGAAGCAATGGATGGAAAATAACCGAGGAGAGAAGCAGCCTAGAACTAAGGAGACATTTCCTGACCATGAAAACCATCAACCAGTGGAAGGACTTGTCTCCAGAAGTTGTGAATGCTCCAATACTGGAGGTTTTCAAGAAAAGACTAGACAACGTTTGTCTGAAATGGTATAGGGTTTCCTGCCTGAGCAAGGGGTTGGACTAGAAGACCTCCCAGGTCCCTCCCAACTCTGTCCTTCTGCACAAAGTCACCAAGATATGAGTAGACAGAATCTGTTGATGAGGTGTTCAAATATTATTTAGGGAGAGGACTTTAACCATGATGAGCTAGCAATGAACTGCAGCAACCGTTGCTTTAATTTCCCAGAATCCTCAGGTGCACCGCATGGTTGGAAGCATTGTAGGAAATGAAAAGGTAGTTTTGAGTCCTCCCACTTCTTTCTTCCCCAAATGACAGCCGTATGTTATTTCAAGATAATATGTCCTGATAGTAGATTACTCCATCCATTATGCATCACAATTTGTTGTTGATTTAAGCAGATGTGGTCATCTGGGGAATGTAAAGCATTTAGACTAACTGCAAAGTGACCTTGGGTATTTGGTGGCCTTTAAATCCAGATCTCAACTCTTGGGAATAAAAACTATTTTCTGTCACTGATATAATCTTTGACCTCCTTGCTTCCTAACTGTGTTGATAAGCTCTAGGGCATGTCCTTTATAAATAGTGAAACAATAATTAAAAAGGAAAAGCTCAAGAAGCAAAATATATAATAGTTTTATCAGCCTTTTTTCTCTCTCTCTCTAGAGAAGTCTACTCTATAGAGAGTGTAAGTTCTGTTTTATTAATGTTGTGATCAGAAACAGAACTCTGTGAAGGTCAGGAAGTTTTCAGATAGTCCAGTGAAAATCAGATGGTAATCTGGATAGTTTCTTGGGGAAAAGACACATAACAAATAATTAAATGCTGACCTGGTCAACTCACTTGCCAAAGCCAGATAGCATAACTCAATGATAAGGTAGTGAACTGAATCTACAAGCTGCGAGGATGGCTTGACTTTGTAAATTAAGTAGCAGAATTGTAAGAGGTTGGAAAAAGAAAAAGGAAAGGAAGGAAAGGAAAGGAAGAAAGAGAGAAAGAGAAAGAAGGAAGGAAGGAAGGAAGGAAGGAAAGAAAGAAGGAAGGAAGGAAGGAAGGAAGGAAGGAAGGAAGGAAGGAAGGAAGGAAGGAAGGAAGGAAGGAAGGAAGGAAGGAAGGAAAGGGAGGGGGCAGTGGTCATCTTTGTTTTTTAGCCGGCATTGTCTGAGGATGCTATGCACTCCAAGGTGCATAGAACATTGTTATCTTCCCACAAAAATTGTGTGATGACCCGAGGCATGGCACAAGGGCAACACAGTCAGATAAGCTATAAGAGTCCCTTTATTATCTCCAACTTTGCCCCCAATGTCCAGGTTACCTTCAGGCTAGAGAAAAGCTCTCCCAGGAACAGCCTTTGACTGCAGAAAATCAAGTCCAAAACAAGGTACACACAAACTGTAACTTAAAATCTAAACAAATCAAACTGAAGTAATTAGTTTGGCAGGGCAAGAGAAGGAATTTCAGACTTGAAAGCATGGCAAAACTCACACGGTTGGGAAGATGCCAGGAACACAGATAAGCCACGACGAGACAAGATAAAGTCACGTTTGCTCTCAGTAGCTGCCTCACTCAGCATGCATTTCTTATCAACTGTCTTCCCAGCTGTGGCTAATGAAGGGAATCAGGACCCTTTCCTCCCCTGTAACATTGCTCTCTTCTCCATTCCTCCCTGTGTGCCCTAGGATGAAGAGGGGCCTGGGTCTTCCTCTGAACTCCCTCTTCCTAGTTCTATCTCTTCCCTGCTCTGCCCAGCTGGACTTTTCCCTTCCCCAGCCTCCTCCATAGCCAACCAAGCCACACTCCCACACCCTGTCAGCTTCCTCCTCAGATTCAGACTCCGACAGGGGCATGACAAAGGGTACCTATTTATCTACTCACAATCACTTCCTGTGTCTGGAGGCAAATTGTTCCATTGATTAATTGTTCTAATTGTCAGGAAATATCTCCTTACTTCTAAGTTGCTTCTCTCCTTAATTAGTTTCCACCCATAGCTTCTTGTCCTGCCTTCAGGTGCTTTGGGGAATAGCTTGACTCCCTCTTCTTTGTGGCAACCCCTAAGATATTGGAACGCTCCTATCATGTCTCCCCTAGTCCTTATTTTCATTAAACTAGACTTCTTTTCATTAAACTACTTTGTGTAGTTTCTAAGAACTGCAATGGAAAGATTCCTTGAGGCGTAGGCCCAGCCTACTTATTTAATTTCTCATTTCAGAAATAGAGCAAAAATTTCCCCCCTGACATTCATTCATTCTAGGTTAATTTTAATTAATGCCCTTCTGGTCTCTCCTGGCTTTTCTTTAAGATAACAGTCTTGCTCAAGCTACCTTAAAAAGTTTTTTTAAAAAAAATAAAAATATCCAGCCTGACTAAGTCCACATCTGGTTTTTTTCTTTCCTTCAGACTTCCTCTGGCAGCCGCTTAGGAGCCTGCGCATCTGGAGATGTTTGAAAGCATACAAAGGAATTGCTGGAGCAAGCAGAAGTGAAAAAAAAAAAAACCTCTCAAGAAGAAAGTGAAGATGTGCTCATAAAAAGAAAAGGAGAAAACGGAACAAAGACGTTTTACAACTTAAATCTCTCTCTCCCTCCCTCGAGATATCTTGGACCGAGAAGGACTACAAGGAGAGAAGAGAAACTGCAGAAGATGAAGGCAAATGTTTCTTTCAGGGTTGTGGACTGCGTTTTCAAAATCCTCCTGCTGCTGCTCTCCATTTTAAATCCAGCTTCTGCACCTCCACCTCCCACCTTCAGGCTCTCGGAAGAGGTAGAGGGCAGGGACCTCATCCCATCACCCATCATTAAGTTTCCTGGTGATGCTTCCCCCAAAACAGACAAAGAACTGGCGTTCGTAAGTTGAGCTTCTTCTTTTTGTTGTTGTTGAAATAGTCTTGCAATGTTTGTGCAAAATCTGAGTCCATATCTTTAAAAAATTGTTGGTAGATCGACTGTCTTCCTGGTCTTAGAAAAGCTTTCTTTTTCTTTCTTTCTTTCTTTCTTTCTTTCTTTCTTTCTTTCTTTCTTTCTTTCTTTCTTTCTTTCTTTCTTTCTTTCTTTCTTTCTTTCTTTCTTTCTCCCTCCCTCCCTCCCTCCCT